AGAACCAAGTCATCACTTAACTCCCATTCACAATTGCTACAAAAAGAATAAAATACCTAGAAATACAGCTAATGAGGGATGTGAAGGACCTCTTCAAGGAGAACTACAAACCACTGCTCAAATAAATCAGAAAGGACACAAATGACTGGAAAAACATTCCATGCTTATGGATAGGAAGAATCAATATCATGAAATGGTCATACTAATTTATGGCCTACCAAAAGTAATTTATAGATTCCATGTTATTTCCATTAAACTACCATTGACATTCTTCACAGAATTAGAAAAAAAAAACTATTTTAAGATTCATATGGAACCAAAAAAGAGCCCAAAGAGCCAAGACCTGAACTCAGTGCTGGATCAAGAGCTGAGCAAGAAGAAAGAAGCTGGAGGCATCATGCTACCTGACCTCAAACTACTATAAAGCTACAGTAACCAAAAGAGCATGTTACTGGTACAAGAACAGACACACTGACGAATGGAACAGAATAAAGAACTCAGAAATAAGACTGCACGCCTACAACCATCTGATCTTTGACAAACCTGACAAAAACAAGCAATGGGGAAAGGATTTCTTATATAATAAGTGGTGCTGAGAGAACTGGCAAGCCATATGCAAAAAAATTTAAACTGGACCCCTTCCTTACACCCAATACAAAAGTTAATTCAAGATGGATTAAAGACTTAAATGTAAAACCCAAAATAATAAAAACTCCGTAAGAAAATCTGAGCAATACCACTCAGGAGAGAGGTATGAATAAAGATTTCATGATGAAAACACCAAAAGCAATTGCAACAAAAACTGACAAATGGGATCTAATTAAACTAAAAAGCTTCTGCAGGGCAAAAGAATCATCAGAATGAACAGACAACCTACGGAATGGGAGAAAATTTTTGCAATCTACTCACTGTACACTAAAAATTACCAGATGAAGAATCAAGTACCCCCAGGATGAAGAACTCATTCTAGCACCAATTCCAAGTTCAAAATCCCATCTAAATATCACTTAAATCAGGTATGGTTGAGATTCAAGTTATGATTCGTCATGAGGCAAAATTCCTCTCCAGTTGTGAACCTGTGAAACCAGACAAGTTATGTGCTTCCAAAGTACAACAGTAGGACAGGCATAGAATAGCTATTCCCAAGCCAACAAGGAGAAACCAGAAAAAAAGAAAGGGGTGACAATCCCAACAAAGTCCAAAACCTAGCAAGACAAATTCCATTAGATCTTAAGGTTCAAGAATATTCTTCTTTGACAGGATGCTCTACCCTGCTGGGCCCACTTGGACAGCAACTCTCCCATGGCCCGAGGGACTGGCCCCATCCGTTCAGCTCTGTAAAGCGGCCCTGACCCCACAGCTCTGGGTGACAGCCTTGTTCCTGGGGTAATAAACAGTGACATCCTAGTCTACTGAAACCAAGGAGGTGGCCCTATTCTCTGAAACCAAAGAGAATGCAGCCTTGCCTCCTGGGCCGGTAGCAGGAGTGGCAGCCCTGATGATCTCTGAATTGCTTTCAGGGTCATTCTTCTCTTTTTCTTTTTTTATTATACTTTAAGTTCTGGGGTTCATGTGCAGAACGTGCAGGTTTGTTACATAGGTATACATGTGCCATGGTGGTTTGCTGCACCCATCAACCCGTCATCTACATTAGGTATTCATCCTAATGCTCTCCCTCCCTTAGCCCCCCACCCGCTGACCGGCCCCAGTGTATGATATCCCCCTCTCTGTGTCCATGTGTTCTCATTGTTCAACTCCCACTTATGAGTGAGAACATGCGGTGTTTGGGAAGGATGATGCATGTTTGAGGCCAGACAACTCTATTGTCCTATCCTGTAGAATCCCAGAAGTTAAACAGCCTTCCTTCATTCTATCCAATTTTCTCTGTTCCCTTTAGTTCCAGCTGGCAGTGTTTCTGCTGACATAATCCCATCTCTGATCCTGGCTTCAGCTGACATGGCGGATTAAATCATGGGGAATCTTTTTATTGCCTGATTGTCCAGCTACACCTTTGGTGTTCTTTCCAAAACATGATTTCTCATTTTGAAAAATACAAAGTAGGCTGAAAATTTCTCAAATCTTCAAGTTCTTGTTCCTTTTTGCTTAATAATTCCTTCCATTTATTTACCTCTCTCCTCTTGCATTCTGCGTTTTACTATAAGCGGTGATGACAAAACAAGCCTCATCTTCAGCATTTTGCTTAGAGATCTCCCTGGCTAAATAACCAAGGTTGTCCCCCACAATTTCTACCTTCTACAAAAGACTAAAACACAATTCAGCCAAGTTCTTTGCCACTTTTTAACGAGGATCTCTTTCCTCCAGTCTCCAATAACATTTCTCATTTCCGTCTGTGACCTTACCAGAAACACTTTTTTTTTTTTTTTTTTTTTTTTTTTTGAGACAGAGTCTTGCTCTATCACCCAGGCTGAAGTGCAGTGGCCCAATTTCGGCTCACTGCAACCTCCACCTCCTGGATTCAAGCAATTCTCCTGCCTCAGCCTCCCAAGTAACTGGGACTACAGGTGCCTGCCACCACCTCAGGCTAATTTTTGTATTTTTAGTAGAGACAGGGTTTCACCATGTTAGCCAGGTTGGTTATGAACTCCTGACCTCAGGTAATCAGCCTCCCAAAGTGCTGGGATTACAGGTGTGAGCCACCATGCCCAGCCCAGAAACACCTTTAATGTTCATATTTCTACCAATTCTATTCTGTTCATAATTATATGTATATTCTCTAAGACTATAAAAGCTTTCTCTGTAAGTCTTTTCTTTCTGATCCTTCATTAGAATTACCTTTAGCATCCATATTTCTACCAGCCATTCCTTCAAGGCAATCTAGGCTTTTTCTTAGCATGTACTTCACCAGTCTTCTAGCCTCTACTCTTCACTCAGTTCCAAATTCACTTCAACATTTTTAGGTATTTGTTAAAGCAGCACCCCACTTCACAATACCAAAATCTGATTACTCTGCTCAGGTTACCCAAACAAAATGCCACAGACGAGGTGGCTTAAACAACAAAAATGTATTTTCTCACAGTTATGGAGGCTGGAAGTCCAAGATAAAGGTGCCAACAGGGCTGATTTCTGGTGAGGCCTCTCCTCTTGGCTTGCAGACAGCTGCCTTCTTGTTGTATCCTTTCATGACCTTCACTTTGTATGCATGAGCCCCTAGTATATTTCCTCTTCTTGTAAGTACACAAGTCCTATTAAATTAACTAAATCCCTAACCTTATGACCCCATATAACCTTAATTATCTCCATAAGGCCCTTGACCTCATGTAACCTTAATTACCTCCATAAGGCCCTATCTCCAAATACAGCCACATTAGGGGTTAGGGATTCAACATATGAACTTTGAAGGGCCACAATTCAGTCCATAACAGAGTTCTTAGATGCAAAACCAAAAACAAGAATCATTAAAAAATTTTGATAAACTGAATGTCATCAAAATTGAAAATGTTTGTGTTTCAGAAAATACCACTGAGAAAAATGAAAAAGCAAGCCAGAAATTGGGAGAAAATAATTCCAAATGAGATATCTGATGGAGAACTTGTGTCCAGAATATATAATGAATTCATAGAACTCAAAAATAAATAAACAACTAAATTTTAAAATAGGAGAATAATTTGAGTAGACATTCCACAGAAAAGGCATATAAATGGCTATTAGGCTCCTTAAAAATACTCAACATAATTATTCATTAAAGAAATGCAGATAGAAGCCACAATTACATATCACTACACTCCCACTACAATAGCTTTAATCCAAAAGACAGAAAATGTCAAATGTCCACAAGTATATGAAAAAACTGGAACACTCAAAAATTGCTGATGTGACATGTAAATTGGTACAGTCGCTATGGAAAACACTGTAGCAGTTTCTAAAAATGTTAAACACAAACTTACCATGTGCCCAGCAATTTCACTCCTAAGAATCTACCCAAGGGAAAATACACATCCATACGTGAATGCTCATAAAAGAATTATTCATAATACTCAATGTCGGAAAACAATCCAAAGTCCATCAACTGGAGAATGAGAATGGATAAGCAAAATGTGGTATATCCACATTTAAGAAATAAAAATTAATAACCTGATCAATGCTACAAAATGGATAATCCTAAGTGAAGAAAAGTCTAATACAAAAACTTACATATTGCATGTTGCCATTTATATAAAATGCCACTAAAGAGGCAAATACATAGAGACAGACAACAGACCAGCAGTTGCCAAGGGCTGGAGAAGAACTACAAATGTGCATAAGGGATCTTTTTAGGGTTGACAGCAACATTCTACAATTGGACTGTGGTAATGTTTGCACAATTCTATTTATGTACTGCTGTAATAATTGTTGAGCTAGATGCTTAAAATGGGTGAATTCTATGGTGGTGTAAATTGCACCTCAACAAAACCATTAAAAATAGAATGTTACCAAAAGATTGGTCACTTACAAGCAAATCTTGCTTAATCATATTTCTTTTTTTTTAATCGCCTAAGACACCTATAGCATATAGCTATGCACATGACAAGTCTAGAAAAATAGTTGCTAAATAAATCAAAGAATAAAATAAAGTATTTCCCTTTCTAATAAAAATAGTAGAATAAAAGGTTTCTTGTCTGAGAATTGCTAGATGTAGAGGTGTAGAGGTGGAGATTGAGAAAGAGGCTTTATTGAAAAGAAATTGTCTTAGACACTTTGGAGAAAATTATTCTCTTTGTGCTGATGTCCTAGATATCACTCAGATAAAACATGTAATTCTACATTCTCTTCTATATGTAAACTTTAAAAAAAATTTACCATAAGAAAATGACAAACGTTAACAAAATACAGAACATTCTAATTTACCTATTTGCTTTTACCATCAAAGCTTTTAATTCCTATCAGTAGAAATACAAGAGATATTATATTCATATTAAAATGGGCTTGACATATTTCATAGCTATATAATAAAAATAAGAAATTTCATATAAACATTTAGGTTGCGAAAAAATATCTCTTACATATTCTGTTTCTGAACTGTCACTTGTATTTGTTTGGATTTTCTCTGGAATTACGATTTGTAGAAGTGAATTTTGAAAACCTAAAGAGATTAAAAAAAAAAACAGTTAGTACCCTTGCCTTAAATTTGACTAAATATCTGTTCAGTTTCTTTCATAAAGATTACTTCTTGTGCAGGTATGCGTGGGTCATCACTGTGTACTTCTATATAAAGCTTGAAAACACTTACTTTGAAAAACAGACAAGGTACTTATGAAAGAACAAAAAAGGAGAAGGGAAGAGGTATTCAGCTGACACGAAATGTGTGGTTCCTGAAGAAAACAGAAAATATACACCAAAAAAAATCAAAGACATACTTCAAAAAAATTTTCCTGAAATAAAAGATTCAAAACAATAGACTAGAAAGTATACTGTATTTCAGGAATAACTGATCATTACTTTAAACTCAAACATATTCTACTGAAATTGTTGGGTTTCCAAGATAGAATTCCTTGCAAATATGACAGAATGAAAAAAAGGAAAATCATGTTGTGTATAAAGGGAGATAAGCAGGCTGGCTTGAGAATTTTTACAACACTATTCAATGTTAAAAGACTACAGAACAATGTCTAAAAAAGAACTTTAAGAAAAGACAGTGAAGACCCTATAAATGTACACTCAGCAAAAAGGCCATTAAATATAAAGGCAAAAGAGAGATATTTACAAGCAAAACTCAAAAAGAACAAAAAGTTCACATGAGTCTATCACGAAAGTCAGAGACATTTCTCCCAATAAAAATATCAGCAGAGTTGTGGTAAAATGCCTAACAGAACAAAATAATCATAACTATAGACTAAAGGCTAAAACAACTGTGGGAATCATAGTTATATAACAGATGCAAATGTTAAAAGCTCTGGTTACATAAACATAATATACACAACTTCAGTAACTATAGCAGAAGATGAGGAAGATCATATAAGCGTACCGATTTCCTTAAATCTGCTTAACAGAGCCAGGTGCAGTGGCTCACGCCTGTAATCCCAGCACTTTGGGAGGCCGAGGCAGGTGGATCACGAGGTCAGGAGTTCCAGACCAGCCTGGCCAACATGGTGAAACCCCGTCTCTACTAAAAACACAAAAATTGGCCAGGTGGCATGCACCTGTAGTCCTAGCTACTCAGGAGGCTGAGGCAGGAGAGTTCCTTGAACCTGGAGGTGGAGGTTGCAGTGAGCCGAGATCACGCCACTGCACTCCAGCCTGGGTGCCAAAGGGATACTCCGTCTCAAAAAAAAAAAAAAGAAAGAAAAATCTGCTTAACAGTGTGATCCAAAAAATGTGACTTAAACCTAAAAACAAGCAGTATAAGTAGAAACTGTTCAGTGACATAAAGGTACAGAAAATTAAGATTAAAAGTAACCATAGTCGGCCAGACGCGGTGGCTCACACATGTAATCACAGCACTTAGGGAGGCCAAGGCAGGTGGATCACCTGAGGTCAAGAGTTCAGCCTGGGCAACACAGTGAAACCCCATCTCTACTAAAAATACGAAAATTAACTGGGTGTGGTGGCGCATGCTTGTAATCCCAGCTACTCGGAAGGCAGGAGAATCGCTTGAACCCAGCAGGCAGAGATTATCGTGAGCCAAGGTCATGCCACTGCACTCCAGACTGGGCAACACAGAAAGACTCTGTCTCAAAAAAAAAAAAAAAAGTAACCATAATCATTAAATGCCACAACTAACATCATATTGAATGGGGAAAAGTTGAAAGCCTTTCCTCTAAGAACTAGAACAAGACAAGGATGCCCACTCTCACCACTCCCGTTCAACATAGCACTGGAAGTACTAGCCAGAGCAATCAGGCAAGAGAAAGAAATAAAAGGCACCCAAATAGGAAGAGAGGAAGTCAAACTATCTCTCTTCACAGACAACATGATTCTATAGAAAACCCTACAGTTTCTGCCCAAAGTCTCCTAGATCGGATACGCAACTTCAGTAAAGTTTCAGGATACAAAATCAATGTACAAAAATCACTAGCATTTCTATACACCAGCAATGGCCAAGCCGAGAGCCAAATCAAGAACATGATCCCATCCAAAATAGCCACAAAAAGAACAAAATACGTAGGAATACAGCTAACCATGGAGGTGAAAGATCTCTACAAGGAGAACTACAAAACACTGCTCAAAGAAATCAGAGATGACACAAACAAATGAAAAAACATTCCATACTCATGGATAGGAAGAATCAATATTGTGAAAAGGCCCATATTGCTCAAAGCAACATACATATTCAGGGCTATGCCTATCAAACCCACAATAGTTTTTCACAGAATTAGAAAAAACTATGCTAAAATTCATATGGAACCAAAAAAGAGCCCAAATAGCCAAAGCAATCCTAAGCAAAAAGAAGAAAGCAAGAGGCCTCCCACTGCCTGTCTTCAAACTATATACTACAAGGCTACAGTGACCAAAGCAGGATGGTACTGGTACCAAAACAAACACATAGACCAATGGAACAGGTTAGAAAACTCAGAAATAAAGCCACACACCTATAACCATCTACTCTTTGACAGTCAACAATAACAAGCAATGGGGAAAGGACTCTCTATCCAATAAATGGTGCCGGGATAACGGGCTACTCATATGCAGAAGGCTGAAACTGAACTTTTGCCATCTTCAATAATCAATGCAAGATGGATTAAAGACCTAAATGTAAAACTTAAAACTATAAATACCTTAGAAGAAAACCCAGGACATGCCATTATAGACATCTTTGACTTGGCAAAGGTTTCATGATGAAGACTCCAAAAGCAATTGCAACAAAAACAAAAATTGAGAAGTGGGACTTCATTAAACTAAAGAACTTCTGCACAGCAAAAGAAATTACCAACCAAGTAAACAGGCAACCTGCAGAATGCAGAAAATATCCACAAACTATGCCAACAAAGGTCTAATATCTGGACTCTATAAGGAGCTTAAACAATTCAACAAGCAAAAAACAACCCCATTAAAAAATGAGCCAATGACATGAACAGATGCTTCTCAAAATAAAACATACATGTGGCCAACAAGCACATGAAAAACTTATCATTAGAAAAATGAAAGTCAAAACAACAGTGACATATCATCTCACACCAATCAGAATGACTTATTAAAAAGTCAAAAAATAATAGATGTTGGCAAGGTTGCAGAGGGAAGAGAACGCTTATACACTGCTGGCGAGAATGTAAGTTAGTTCATCCACTGTGAAAAGCAGTATGATTTCTCAAGGAACCCAAAACAGAACTCCCATTTGACCCAGCAGTCCCATTACAGAGTACATACCCAAGGGAATATAAATCGTTCTACCATAAAGACACATGCACACGTATATTCATTGCAGCACTTTTCACAATAGCAAAGACATGGAATCAACCTAGATATCCATCAGTAGTGGAATGGAAAAAGAAAATGTTGTACATATACACCATGGAATACTATACAGCCATAAAAAATGAAATCATGTCCTTTGCAGCCACACGGGTGCAGCTGGCGGCTACTATCCCAAACAAATTAACACAGGAACAGAAAACCAAATACCGCATATTCTCACTTTTGAGCAGTGGCTAAACATTGAGTACACATGGATGCAAAGAGTGGCACAATAGAACCAGAACTTACTTGAAGGTGGAGGATGGGAGGCGGGAGAAAACTGAAAAACTACTTCTCAGATACTATGCTCACTACCTGGGTAATGAAATCATTTGTACACAGAACCCCAGTGACACACAATTTACCCATATAACAAATCTGCACATGTACCTCCAAACCTAAAATTAAAGTTGGAAGAAAAAATAAAACTTATAAAAAATTTTTTAAACATGATTCCTTGCTTTGACTGGGAATCATGGAATTCTGAAGTGGCAGACAATGGATGTCAGACACTTGACTCTCAGAGACAGGTGAGTACAATTACCAGAAAAAGCCACAAGGACAGTGTGAAAAACAAAATGCTTTCACCTACAGAAGTCCTTGGTCATATCTTACTGATCACAGAGTCCCTAGAAATGAACTAGATGAGCAGGCTAGTCAAGAAAATTCTAGCTTGTGGTGCGCAAAAACTGATGCAATCACCACGAGGACTCACAGCCTCTTCCCTGGTTCCTATACCTGACCCAGTTCAAAGGCTTGCAGCCTTTTCATTGAGGAGTGAGAGAGTCCTCTTTAGGAAAGACCTTGCCATGCGACCACAGGAATGTGCTACGAATCTTCCCCTGCAGCCTCCTCCATAGTGTCCTATGTCCTTTTACCATGATGACTATGCCCTGGGGAGGGGAAATAGCCAGACTTTCAGGGAGTATTATTTACTGCCTCTGAACTAACACTAATCCTGAGGACTCAAAATACCAGCATGGTCCATTGATCAGAATAGGGACTTACATAGATCAAGGCATAAATTGTGACCTGGATCCATCAATGGTGAACGAAATTACAGTTTTTATGAAATGAAGTAGCTCGTTGAAATTAAAGTCTCATTAGTTAGTTCATGTGAAACTATAGTTGATTAGTGAAAAAAATATAGACTCCAATGTGTTGATTTGTTTCAACAAATCATAGCACAGAGGGACACTGTCCTGTCATAGCACAGAGGGACACCGACCGTTTTGATTTCCCATTAGAACATCATGCTGTTCAAGTTGCATGTGAAAGACATCATGCTAATATATTTAGTGAGCAAGAAGTAGCAAGTGCCCTAGATGTTTTAGTAAGATACATGTATGCCGGAATGTGGTAGAACCTATGGAGGTTTAAGGGATAGTTACAACCCCGACGTTTCTTGGGGTCCAGTGGTTGCAGCACGCTGAGCTATCCTGTACAAAGTGAGATGCTAGCGGCTACACCTTGCATAGCCCACCACAAAAAAAAAGAGTCACAACGAGTGGCAGGCCTTTTTGAGTTTTTGAATTCAGAGATAATACATACTGTTTTGGGGTGTGAAAGCCTGAATCATTCATCGGGTGACTGGTAAAGCTGTCAAAATCGACTGGGATCCAGCGCAAGAGAAGACTCTGCAGCAAGATACAGATGGCACTGCCCTGCCGCTTCAGTGTTATGACACAGGAC